CATGAGTTGGCATGTGGGACACGATGCCACGTGTCGCTGTTCGTCAGTTAGCATCTTGGGCCTGTAATAGTAATTCCTGCAATAAGGTGTAGCCCGGTACCCAAATGCGATTGGTGCCAGTATTTACGTAATGATTCCTTTTCGCTGCTGTGGACTGCTGCGATTTGCCTCCGGTGAAGAATGGGTCCGTTTGGTAGCCGTGGGTAAATAGTCCTGTTAGCAGTGGGCAGGTCTGGGCGAGTAGTATGGCGGGTATCTGGGCAGTTGGGCGGGTTAGTGCGTCGGCGATATTCGAGGCTCCCCTTTTGAAGGTGACCGTTTAGTAGAAGTTCTAATCGAGGAAATCGAGCAAGCGGATTTGTCATGGGTTGAGGTGGGGCTGGGCATGAAGGTACCGTAGGAATATATAGTTTGTCCGTACTGTAACGTCTGCGTCGATCAAGTAACAATGCCTCACTTTGAAGGCGTGCACGATTGAGTGCATTTTGCGGTCGTGTATCGGGTAATTTTTATCAGGCGAATGTAGTTTTCGTGACTCGTATTCGATGAGCTATGATCCATCGCCGAAGTCCTGTAGCAGTACGACCCCAATGGTGATGTCGCTGGCATCAGTAACTACTCCGAATGGGCGGTGTGGGTCGGCAATGCATAGTACGGGCGGTAAACAGAGAACAGTTTTCAAGGCAAAGAAGGCAGCATGCTCTTTCTCACCCCACGCAAAAGCGACCTCCTTTTACAGCAACTCCGTTAGTGGGGCAGTTAATTGTGCCATGTCGGAGACGAACCCTACGCACATAAATAACGAACTCTGCAGCTCCATGTGTCAGAATGTTATTGTATACATCACTTTATAACTGCCTGCAATGTAGACTTAGTGTAGTTATCTTGCTTGTTAGGTGGTGCACCTTGCTTCACTTCTTTCATATTTGTACCCTTGAACCTATAGTGAAAACCTCATTCTCCTTCTCAACTCTCTCGATACTTTCCTTACCCTCGAACTTAACTACCAAGGTGAGAAGAGTTGAACAAGAATGAGAATGACTAAGTGAAAGTAGGGTACGAATACAAACCCTAGAAAGCTGTACCCCATATGTGCTACCCCACTATAGCCTACAATATATATGTCATATATATCTGACACACCCCCATAGGCAAAGTGGGGGAGAACAAGGGGTCACAAGACCAGTCAAGCAAAGCAAAGTAAAGCAAGCTCAGGGTGGATCACAAAGTCACCACACAGTCCGAGCACAAGGTCAAGGCCACAAGGCCAGTTCACATGCAGGAATGCACATATGTATATATAACACTAAACAAGCAAGAGCAGGTATATATATATGCAAGAGTACAAGTAAGATCAAGAGGTGAGCAAGTGAGGTAAGACAGGTACAAGTCCCAGCTGAGTGCAGAAGCGCTGATGATCACAAGGCGGAAGTGCCTTGGTGAAAACATCACCAGTGTTGGCCTCAGAGGCCACGTACGCAAGGCGCAACTGACCACGCTGCTGCAGCTTACGAGCAAGAAAGTAGCGGAGAGCAATGTGCTTCGTTCTGTGCTCCAGGAGCTGCTCTCGACACAAGGCCAGCATCGCCTTGTTGTCTACGTACAGCACTGGAGGAGAACGAGGCGGCTCTCCAAGGTCAGTCAGCAGGTAGGTGAGCCAGCGAAGCTCCTGAGCAGCCATGGACCCGGCGTAGATCTCAGCCTCACAACTGGAGCCGAGAACAGAAGACGAGCGAGTAGCCCACCACAAAACAGAGCCGGAACCAAGACTGAAGGTGTAACCCTGTGACGACCGCTGAGTAGCCTGGTCGTCAGCCCAAGAAGCGTCCGCGTGTCCAGTGAGGACCACTGGACTCCGCCCTCCAAGCACTAGCCCCATGCCCGACGTACTGCACAAGTAGCGCAACACCCTCTTCGCTGCAGCCATGTGCTCTGGTCGGTGTCTCCCAGGAGCAACATAGCGTGCAAGAATGCTAAGAGGGTATGCAAGGTCAGGTCGTGTGCAGGTCATCAGGTACATGAGACAGCCAACAAGCTCTGGGTACGGGCCACTCGACTCTACAGACTCATCCGAAGGCAGAGCTGAGAGCGAGTGGCGAGTAGAGAGAGGAGTGGCCTGAGGCGAGGAGTACGTGAAGCCGAAGCGCTGAAGGACCTGCTGCACCATGTGTGACTGAGTCAAGGTAATGGTGCGTCGTGCTCTTTCCCGAGTGATCTGCAAGCCAAGATAGCTGCGCAGTTCAGCCAGGTCTGTGCACGTGTGTCTCTTCTGCAGCTCGGACTTCACGTAGGCGAGTCCAGCAGTGTCCGCTGTGGCAAAGACCAAGTCGTCGACGTACACGAGGATGTAGAACGGCGGCAGAGAAGTGTCGGTGCGCAGAAACAACGACGGGTCAGAAGTAGAGGGAGCAAACCCAACAGCCGCAAGTGTAGTCCTCAGTGTGTCGTGCCACTCACGCGGTGCCTGGCGGAAACCGTGGACTGGCCGTCGGAGGCTCCACTGGGTGCCAGGAGGGAAAGTCCCAGTGAAGCCAGGTGGACAGCGCAGCCAGATCTCCTCGTGCAGGCTACCCTGCAAGAAAGCAGTGCTGAAGTCAAGAGAGTGGAGCTTGTAGTCGCGCTGAGCGGCTATGTGCAGCAGCACCCGAATAGTGGTCATCTTCGGGGTGGGAAAGAAGGTCTGAAAGTAGTCAACTCCCTGCCGCTAACTGAAGCCACGAGCCACGTACCGCGCCTTGAAGACAGGTGGAGAGCGCGGCGGCCGCTTCACCCTGAAGATCCACATGCCACTGACGATGTTCGCCCTAGGAGGGGGAACTGCGTCAACGTAGGTGCCTGTGGACTTCCAGGAAGCCATCTCTGCATCCATAGCTGCCTGCCACTGAGAGGAGTAGGGACCCTCTATCGCCTCCGCGTAAGAGCGCGGAGTCGGGATGTCTAGTGCATCCGGGTCTCCCTCAGGGGCAAGTAGTACGGATGCGAGATGAGGTGAAGCAGCAGCCAGACACTGGAACTCCTCCTGCCTGTCCTCAAGAACGTCCGTGCCAAGGGCACACTCACCCCCGACGGACGGAGGACAGACAGACGCAAACTCAGCAACAAGACTGGTAGCGTAGTCTAGACAACAGCAAGCCGCAAAGTCGACGAGCTCAGCAACAAGCGCAGACGCAGCAGTGGACTCAAAAGAGGGGTCAGTGACGACAGTAGCAAGGAGACGCGTGACAGTAGGACTGGCAGTACGAAGAGAGTCTGACTGTGGGTCGGCAAGTGCAGGAAGAGAGGACTCAGGAGGAGAAGGCAAAGGGGCACGCAGAGGAGCAGTGGACGAACGCAGAGACATCCGGTGCATGCCAGGGACAGGAGGAGGACGCTGACGCGAACCGCGACCACTAGCGCGAGCAGCACGAACTGGCGACACGGAACGAGACGCAGGCTCACGACGCTCATCAAGACCTCCAGTAGGACCAGTGTAAGGAGAGGGAGCAGGAAGTGGGGAGGCGGGCTGTAGCTGTGTCTGTGACTGGACAGGCGGTGGACACTCTACAGGAGGAGAAAGACCAAGAACCTGCTGCAGGAGCGGAACAAAGTACGGCCGAGGCCGCGCGGCAACTCCAGACACAGCAGCGACAGCACCAGCACCAGCGCCAACAGCACCTCCAGCTGCAGGACCTCCAGCAGCACCAGCAGCACCCGCAGGAGGACCACCGCCAGGAAGGACAGCAGCAGTCTCAGCACCAACACCCTCAGTAGCTCCACCTCCAGGCGGACCCGAAGGCCCAGGAGCCCCGGGACCGGCGGCACAAGTACCGTTAGCGGCTGAAGAAGCTCCAGCTCCAGCAGTACGCCTCCAGCGGCGAGCAAACCACTCGCGCAGCTCCTGTGGAGAGAGTGGCTCCCGCCGAGACGAAGCACCCAGAGAGCCTTCAGGCCCCGCACCGCCAAACGCCAAAAGGGGAGGTCCTGTGGCCGCAGGCTCCGCAACTCCAGGCTCAGCAGCACCCCCTGGCTCAGCAGCTCCTGACGTAGCACCCCCAGGCTCAGCACCCCCAGTCGCAGCACCCCCACGCTCAGCACCCCCAGACTCATTACTCTTAGGCTCAGCATCCCCAGGCTCAGCACCCCCAGTCGCAGTACCCCCAGGCTCAGCACCCCTAGGCTCAGCGCCCACGCGCGTAGCACCCCTAGAGTCAGCACCCCAAGGCTCAGCACCCGCAGCAGTACCAGAGTCACCAGCAACCTCGACCGGCTCGACTGCGTTTACCTGGGACACACCTGAAGGGGCAGTACCCTGAGGGGGAAGGGGGTCTACCGGGGGGGGACCTGGCACAAGGAAGTGCGGTGGCGGGGGGAGGGAAGGAGTGCGGTAGGGGAAGAAGCGGTAGAAGGGGACTGACTCGTCGAACGTGACGTCCTGGGAGGACAGAACACGACGAGAGGAGGGGTGGTAAAACTGCCACCCTGGGGCGTCAGGGGGGAAGCCTAGGAAGACACAGGGAGCAGCACGAGGGGACAGCTTCTCCGCAGACAAGTCGCGGACAAACGCCCGAGATCCCCAGACACGGAACGCGGACGCATCGCCGACCTTCCCCGTCCACAGCAGAGCTGGGGAGGTCTCCGGCCGGGAGACCCTGGGGTGAAGGTTGATCTGATGCGCCGCGTACCGAACCGCAAACAGCCACAGAAAATGGGCGGCAACCGCATGCATCATGGACGTACGAGCGACGTCCATGACCATGCCAATGCGGCGCTCAGCAATCCCATTTTGCTGTGGAGAGTCCGGAAGCGTAAAGGTCTGGCGGATGCCTCGTGCACGACAGTAGGCTCGCAGAAGGCCAGAGGAGAACTCTCCACCTCGGTCAGAGTGCAGACGCAGAACAGGAAAGTCCGAGCCAAAGCTCCTCCTGAGCTGGAGACGAGCTGCGCGGATCCAGTCGTTCAACACCTCAGTGACATCACCCTTGCTGCGCAAGGGGAAGACTGTGGTGTAACGCGAGTAGTTGTCAACTACCAGCAGGAAGTAGCGCTCGTGACCCTGTCCACGGACGCGGGCCGGGCCCCACACGTCCATGTGAAGCGTCTGCAGAGGAGCCTCTGTCGGGGGAAACTGGGAGGAGTGAGGGGCAGCTCGGAGCCGCCCCTCGACACAGGGGACACAGGAAGGTCCTGGCCCCGAAGGAAGGGGAGGGAGAGACCGGGGGAGACCAGAGACAAGGACACGGGAAGCCATGCCCCGAAGACGAGGCAAGGAGGGGTGGCCAAGACGGTGGTGCCAGAGGAGAGTCTCGTGAGACAGGAGGCGACACGAGCAGGGGGCAGACTCAGGACCAGACCTGGACGCAGCAGCAAACACCTGACCCGACGCAGCTACCTGGCTAGACGCAGGGACAGGAGGAGACTCAGTGTTCAGGGTGTAGAGACTCGACCCTGGCCGACGCGAAAACGTGGCCAGGTGTCGGCCTATGCGGGCGTCCGAGCAGTGGGTCACCCGCTGACTCGCAGGAGTAAACTGGTGAACCCCCGCATCCTGCAGGTCAGCACCACTCACCAAGTTCGTCGAGAACGAGGGGAGGTACAGACCAGACAGGGTGCCCGATGGAGCAGCCGGACACGGGAGGACAGTGGAGAAGTGAGAAAGGACAGGACCCCCAGAGGGGTCAGCCAGGGAGACTGCAACCGGCCGACCAAGCGGCGTGAGTGTGGTGCGGTCTCGAAAGAAGGAGCGAGAAGCCCCTGAGTCAAGTGTGAAGGTGAGGGAGGCCGAAGCCGACGCAGTACCTGAGAGCAGAGCCTCACCAGAACCTGAGAGCGCAAACGCACTGGCACCAAGAGCAGCAGCCTCACAAGCACCTAGCGCAGCAGTACCAATGCCCGGGTCGGGCGGGAAACACCGGTAACAGTCACCCTCATCACTAATAGTCACAGCGTACATGGCAGCAAGGATAGCATCTAAGTCAAGATCAAAGATAGCTACGCCAGCCCTAGACAGCTCTCCCCAGCGGAGAATCTCACTAGCCTCGAGGAACTGCTGATGCCAAGCGTTCGTCAGGCAGCCAAAGCAGCGCTAGGTGGGGTGGGCACCCCTACACTGCTCACCCGCGCGGTCGCCGGAACGAAGGACGTAGGTGCACGGACCAAAACTCCCACCACGCTGACGTTGCGTGTACCACTCACGGAGCTGCTGAGGCGGGGGGATGTCCCGAGAACGCTGCTGCTGCTGCTGGCGCTGACCACCACCAGAGCCACTCCGCTGCGGGGCACCACACGGACCAGCTCCACCCCCTCCGCCACCGCCGCCTCCACCTCCGCCACCACCGCCGCCTCCGCTGCCGCCTCCGCCTCCGCTGCCGCCACCACCACCACCACCCCCGCCACCACTCCCACCGCCACCTCCACTCCCTCCGCCGCCTCCACTGCCACCTCCACCGCCCCCGCCAGCTCCACCCGCGCCCTTGCCCCCCTTGCCCTTGCCAGGTCGGCGTCTCCCGCTAGGGGCAGACGCCGCGCCGACCGACTCAAGACCAAGCAGGTCGGCAGCAGCAGTAGAGGCAATAGAGGGCAGCAGGGGGGAAGGAGAACACCCCTCAAAGATGGGGGTGCGAAGGTCACCCCGAGAGGCTCCTACAGCGACGATGCTCTTCTCCGCCGCCAGGAGGGCCTTCTCGAGGAGGTCAACAGTGAGAGTGGTGGGACAGACTGAGAGAAAGTGTTCCCTGACTACGCGAAGGGAGTCAGGGAGGCGTGTGACTATGTAATAGAGAGTGATGTACATGGGGGGAGGGTTCTTGGCGCAGAACTCAGCAGGAAGCGCGGCGCGGTAGCGAGTGTCACTAGTGCGGAGGTGCGTAATGAGGTCAGCGACTGTGGGAAAGGCAGCAAGGTCAGGAAATAGGTACGGTAGCATGAGGCGGCTCAGCGCAGCAGTGGCAGGGGAAGAGTAGCGCGCAACTACAGCGTCGTACAAGGTCTGAGCACTCTTGTACTGACTAAAGTGCGCGCGCTCAGTGGTAGGCAGGTGGCGACGCACAGCAAGACGTGCAGCAGCATTGCGGGTGGCCCACTGAGAGCGAACAGTGGGGTCAGCATCAGCAGCAGGGGTAGGAGAGGCGCAAGAGGTGAGGTCAAAGAGAGAAAGACCGTCCGCCCTATCGCACTGTAAAAACAGCTGCAGGTCGTCGACCCAGACCTCAAAGTCAATGGCTCGACCCTCAGCGTCAAAAGTGAGGACACTAGGGGTAGCCATGACGATGATAGACTAGCAGTGCAAGCAGTAGGGGAAGGGCACGCAGTGACAGTGGGGCTGTGCTCACCGGACAGGGCAGGTCGGGCGGCTCAGCTGCTGGGCGGCTCGGCGGCTGGGCGGCTCGGCGGCTCGGCGGCTCGGCTGCTGGGCGGCTCGGCTGCACAGCGGCTCGGCTGCCCCGCGGCTCGGCTGGTGGGCGGCCGGGCGGCTCGGCAGATGGGCGGCTCGGCTCCTCCGGTACTCGGCGGCGCGGCAATCGGCTGCTCGGGTGCACGCTGCAGGGTGGTGCTGCGGTCGGCGGCTCGGGTGGCGCGGCAGGAGAGGAGAGCGGCAGGGCCACAGCAGACGGGCGGCGGGGCCCCAGGTGCAGGGCGGCGGGGCCGCAGCAGAAGGGGGGCGGGGCCGGTAGAGTCGGGCGGCGGGGCCGCGAAGTGGGGCGGCGGGGCCGCGAAGTGGGGGGGGGGAGGGGCGGGGCAGGTAGAGTCGGGCGGCGGGGCCGAGAAGTGGGGCGGCGGGGCCGCTAAAGCAGGGTGACGGGGCCGCTAAGGAAGGGCGGCGGGGCCGCGAGGTGTAGGGCGGCGGGGCCGCTAAAGCAGGGCGGCGGGGCCGCGAAGTGTAGGGCGGCGGGGCCGCTTAAGCAGAGCGGCGGGGTCGCTAAAGCAGGGTGACGAGGCCGCTAAGGAAGGGCGGCGGGGCCGCTAAAGCAGGGCGGCAGGGCCGCGAAATGAAGGGCGGCGGGGCTGCGAAAGCAGGGCGGCGGGGCCGTGAGGTGTAGGGCGGCGGGGCTGCTAAAGCGGGGCGGCGGGGCCGCGAAGTGTAGGGCGGCGGGGTCGCTAAAGCAGGGCGGCGGGGCCGCGAAGTGTAGGGTGGCGGGGCCGCTAAAGCATGGCGGCAGGGCCGCGAAAGTTGGGCGGCGAGGCCGCGAATCAGGGGTGGCGGGGCCGCGACAGTAGGGCGGCAGGGCTGCTAGGGGAGGGAAGGCCGCTAGGGCAGCTCGTCGAGTTATTAGCCCGAGGCGCGACTCGGGATGAGCGTGCTTCGGGCAGTAAAAAAAAAATCAAGTGGTGGGCCCTATGCGCAGTTCCCACAGGGGAACCTGCTCGATACCATGAGAAGAGTTGAACGAGAATGAGAATGACTAAGTGAAAGTTGGGTACAAATACAAACCCTAGAAAGCTGTACCCCATATGTGCTACCCCACTATAGCCTACAATAGCTATGTCATATATATCTGACACAAGGCACCTAAACCTATGGCTCCTAAGCCCACCCATGCTTAGGATTCTAACACCATGATATTTCTCGAGGGGTGCCACGCTTTCACCGTGTCCAATGTTTTTCAGGTTGATCTCAACTCCAGCCTCCAAAATTTCCCCTGAAATTTTAGTTGGTCCTTGAAAAACTCGCACTTCGAACCCTTCGTTAGCAACAGGTTTTTTTAGTTGGTCCTTGAAAAACTTGAACACTGCTTCAAGGTCCGCTAAGTGTTGTTGCTTATCGCGACAGTAAATAGGATGTAGCCAAGGTAAACTATCACGCACTTATCTAATAGTGGTCCAAACGCCTCATTCATGGTGCGTTGGTCAACCCGAATGGCATCACTGTGTACTCGTACGACCCGTACCTAGTGCGAAAAAATATGTCTTGTCGCAGTTCGATGTTCGACTCCAATCTGATGGCCCGTAACTCTATCTTAGAAAATGCCCGAGTTGTTCCCAGTTGATCTATCAGTTCGTCAGCACGGAGGTCGGGATATTGCGATTCATATGTTACCATGTTCAGTGCGCGGTAGTTGATATACATGCGAAACCCTCTGTCTTTTTTTTTGTGTGAACAGTATTGGTGCAGCGAACGGTGACGAACTCGATCGGATGATTTTTTTTCTCCAACAAATATTCTAGCTGCTCCCTCAGATCGTCGAGTTCGGGGTGTCAATCTGAATTGTCGCTGTACGTTTGGTTATGCCCACGGTTCTAACTCTATGCGGTGGTCGTACGCTCGTTGAGGTGGCGGTCCCTCTAGTAAGTCATCGGGAAAAATCCCCGAGTACCATTTCAGTAGTTATTGTAGTTCGGCAGGTACAGTTCCTGAAAATCACTCGGTTCCACCACTCCTTCTACTACCGTGATATTCACTGCGTGCACGTCAGCTCCGGCGGCGACAACTTGTGAAGAAACGTTCTTAGTAGGAAGGCATAGAAGCCATAGTGAGTTCAGTAGTAGAGATCGAGCTCGAGTGAGTAGGGTTAGGAGAGTCGAGAAAGTTTCAACAAAGAGGAGTTTCACTATAGAGCGAGCAGTACAAATAGGCAAGATGAAAGGTGTACCACCACAACAGAACATTATATAACTACAATAGTCTACACTACAGGCAGTTACAAAACAATATATAGGTTTATATATTATTCTGACACGCCCCCATAAGTGCCTGTAGGGAAGAATATGCAGTCAACGCCCCCATAATGGGGTACACCAAACAGGCCGCAGCGGAAATCATAGCAACAGGCAAGTGCAGTGACAACAGGTGCAGTGATGGCAGATCCAGCTGTACCAACCCCTTTACCAAGGTAAAAACAGTAGGAGGTGGTGGGGCGGCAGGTCGCCTGAGGAGCAGGCTCTGTGGCTGCAACATGCAGCAGGACAGCAGCGGCTCGACGGCAGCACCTGCAGGCCCCAGCACAAGGTAGCAAAAAACAGAGACAACAAAAAAAGGTAGGTGGTAGCAGGGGCGGCAGCTGGAGGTGCCACGGCAGCAGCTGGCGTCAGCAGCAGATGACCGGCTGACTTCCGTCGCCCCCTCACTCCCCCCCCCACAGCGGCACGTGCGGCAGTGAGAGAGAGAGGAGGGGCGGCAGCTTCTTGCTCACACCCGCCTCCCCAAAGCCTCCCCCCCACACTGTTGCACGTGCAGTAGCGAACAGAGGGGCGTCAACCACCCTCGCGCCTCCCCCTCCTCCCCCTCCACACCGTCGTCCACAGTGGAAGAAAACGGCAGCGGGCTCGGGTGGGGTTGGTGAGCTGTCGGGTAGGAAGGGGGAGTAACGGGTGGGTGCAACAGGTGCCGCGACGAGCGCCTGCGCACAGCTCGTCGTCGCTTGCGAGGCAGCTGCAGCGGTAGCAGCCGCATTGTCGACGGGAGGGCGGGGCAGGGGGTGCGATCGGCGGCTGAAGTAACTCGGCCGCCACACCCGCCGTCTCCCCCCAAAGCGACCGTCGATGCAGACGTTCGGGGCTGCGACCGGGCGTGACGAGGTTGCAGGAGGGCGCGATGGGCAGACGACGGGGCCGCCGACTGGGGCCGCGACGAACAGACCTAGACCCGCCACGCGCGACGTCACGACTAGCAGCTGAACGGGTGCTTGGGAGGCCGCGACGAGCGCCATGGCAGGAACGAGAAGTGGTGGGCCCATGGGAAAAAAAAATCAGGTCCTAGGATAGGAACCTCACTCTGATAACATGTGAAGAAACGTTCTTAGTAGGAAGGCATAGAAGCCATAGTGAGTTCAGTAGTAGAGATCGAGCTCGAGTGAGTAGGGTTAGGAGAGTCGAGAAAGTTTCAACAAAGAGGAGTTTCACTATAGAGCGAGCAGTACAAATAGGCAAGATGAAAGGTGTACCACCACAACAGAACATTATATAACTACAGTAGTCTACACTACAGGCAGTTACAAAACAATATATAGGTTTATATATTATTCTGACACAACTGATTTCATCGTGATGGCGTTGACGTGGACCATTGAAGACTTAGGTGACTACCAGCAAGGTAGTTCAATCCAGATACCACCGCTTCGCACAGTGCAACTACCTGTCGTCCAGTCGATTATCGCCGCTAGTACCAAGATTTCGTTAAAGTTCGAGATCCCGCGACGAAGGATTTTTTACAAAATTTCTGACTTTAGGCCAACAACATAGTGATCCACTCGCTCCGCTTCGTGCATGTAGCCGACTTGCTCACAGAGCGTGAGAAAACCATTGGTGTAGTCCGACTCGAGCTGCCGCCAGTACGCAGTTTTTGGCATGTCGAGATCGAAGCCGCAATCGGCTCAAAGGGCGCCTGAAGCACTGCGCACCATGCGTCCCACATGCTGTATTGGGCGGTTTCGCAGAACGAACTTCAGGTGACGGCTGAACCTACGGGCCCTTCCTCTTGTGATAGTGGCTCGTAGATGCGCGGCGACGTCACAATGGCACGCCACCAGTCCATGGCGGATGAGGGAACCTCCCGCGGAAAGGGTGCAAAGGACGCGCCAAGTGATGATGGGCAAGCGTCGTGTTCGATGGTCAGCGTGGTGACGGACGCATCTGCGAAACCAGCCATTTCTTTGGCTCCGAAAGCTGTCGAGGAATTCCAGGCGGTTGCTGCAGCTGTGCAAGCAAATCCGACGCGTGAGGCATTCATGGACATGAACGCGGGAGGCGACGTTCACCATGTGAGTGGATTCAACGGCGCTCTTCAAGGGGCGGCGGGCACGAAGGTTCTCATCCCCGATGTGCTGTATGTGTCTGGCGAATAGGCAAATCTGTTGTCAGCTGGACAGCTAAAGGACAGTGGTGTGCAGTTCCAGGACACCGGTGACGAGATGCAACTTGTATCTGCTAAGGGAGCCGTTCACGGTCGTGCATACTACAACAGTCGTGTCCTCTACACCAACCTCCGCCCGTGTACATCGTAGCAGCCAACGGCGCCGCCAATGGAGACGGTCGCGTTGCAGACGATTGCGTCATCTACAAGGTCGTCAGCACGCACGACTTGCGCACGCGGGGATGGATACGATAAAGCACACAGCTGCACATGGCGCGGCAGCTGGATTGGAGATCACGTCATCGGCTAGCGCGGACCTGGTATGCGTTTCTTGCATTAGTGGAAATCCGGTTCGTCATACCTTCCCCGACCAAGGTTTTGAACACAAAAACGCATTGGACGTTGTGCACATCAACATCTGCGGACCCTTTTGCGTTGCTGCAAAAGACGGGAGTTGATACTTTCTTCTCCTGAAC